TGTTCGGATCCTGAGACGTTCTTTAAAAATCGCGACCTGCGCTTTTCTTCTTCGCCATTTCTTCTCTCTTCTTCGCCATTTCTTCCACAAAATTTTCAATTTCCTTCACAATACAACATACACTATCTATTGAATCAAATTTTCGGGTAAGATTCGTCATTTCACTGGTCAAAAACTCGAATTTTTCGCCATATCGCCGACAACCATATCTCAGATTTTCGAAGGTAACATTCACTTCACTTTCCTTGTCCTTTTACACTTTATTTTGGGGATTTTTTTGCCTATATCAAGTATATATTAATGGGATTTCAATACCCTCTCAATACATTGAAATTTCTCTTCCGAATTCTCGTTTTTTGGCCGAAAATTGTTCAAACCCTAGAATTTTTTTGTTGGACTATTTTTTTTTAGGGGATTCTCCATTTTTTTTTCAATCATGTCAAGTTCTACACGTGGAAAATAGGGACGAAAAATTGTGCAACGACCCCCTTCACCATCGGATGATGAGATGGATTTGGAACCGAGAAGGAGCCACCGAACCCTTTTGAAAAATTGCCCATTTTAATCGGTAAGAATGTTGATTTTATGGATTTTACAATAGAAGCTCCCGCCTTTCATATTGAAGAATGTTTTGAACGTATGGGATGGATAACCGTGACTACGATGGAAGAGCATGCTTATCCACGCCTTATGAAAGCATTTTATCAAAAAACAAATTTTACGCCACGTTTAAACGAAATCACTTGCTTTGTTAAAAATGTTCGGTTTACAATTTCAAAAGCATTAATTCGTCAACTACTTAATCTCGAGCCTTGTGACTTAGAAGTGTTTTTACATAAGTCTCCACCAACCATAGAAGGATACGATCCTTCTGAGGCATGTCGTCGAGTTACGAGGAAAGACTTAGAGAACATCACAAAAATTAGTGCACATTAATTAATACTTCCATGCAAGGTTTTGCAAAATATAATTGCTCACATTATTTTTCCCCGCAAAGGTCATCGAGACGAAGTCAATCACTTCGATCTCTTTATTTTGGATTCTCTACTAGTCGGGCGTAAAATTGATTTTTCTACTATTGCACTTGGCCTTATGAAGCTTGTGCATGCATCACAACACACCAAAGCTTTACCTTACGGGATGCTTCTCACAAATTTTTTTAAGCATTTTAATGTTTCATTGGACGGTGAAGATTTTATAAAATTACGCCCTACCGATACTATTAACATTCAGACCTTAAAACGGATGAAAATAGTAAAGGAACATGGGCAATGGGTGGCTCATACGAAAGAGTTCGATCCTACATCCGGTCCATCCACTCTCCCATTTGAAGATGAAGCTGAATCAGATGAAGAAGTACCTGAAGTTCCTGCTCCCGCATCTGACATTCCAGGCTCGAGTGTGCCTCCTCCTTCTCGAGAGCGTTCTACATTTACCGAGGAGCAATATAATCTCCTCCATGGCAGATTGATTCTCTTACTTCATCGGTTGACGGCATGAGTAGCCTACTTCTCCAGATGCAGGCTCCACAGATATCTATCCAGGATCGACAACTCGAGATGCAGCAGCGACAGGCTGAGATGCAGGCTCAGCAGGCTGCATTTTTCACCGAGTTTTATGCTAGATTTCCTCCTCCACCCTGACCTTCGCCCCCTTAGTTTACTTTCTTGCTTACTATTATTCTCATGTTAGTTATTATCTATTGCTCTTTTATATTTTGGATGGTTGACTTTTTAAATGATATTTTTATGCTATTTGACGTATTATATCTTTTTGCTTGTGGCAAAAGGGAGAAGATGAGCAGATGATTATGCAACATAGGAACAACATAGTAAGGGGGAATGTTATTAAATGTTATATGCATGTTGATAGGGGGAATATTAATTGCAATAAACAAAATTATGCTCCTGATTATTTGATGTCGATTCAATTTGTTCAATATTTATTTTGCAAAAATCATCTCGTTTGTCATAATAAAAAAGGGGGAAATTGTTGACCTAATGGTTGACTTCTTGTTTTGATTATTACAAACAAATTGCGTTTGATTCTAACAAATTGAATTTAAGTGATTGATAGTGATTATTACAAATTTATGACACAAAAGATCTAGATCGGGAATCATGCAACCTTCGCGCAAAACGATATACACACAAGATTTACGAACAAGGAAATGGATATCGAGCTTTCACGCACCAAATTGCATTGGATGAAGAAATTGAAGACATTAGCTATAGATGCATTTGTATACTCAAGTGCAAAGGTAAAACACTTTAATATTTCGTATCGATTATAGCTCAAACAATTTTTATGCACGATAATTATCATGACAAACTTTACTTGCATAAAAATTATTTTCAAAATATAAGTAATTTGATTTTCACAGTTAAACCTTTATGAAATTACTTGTCTATATAAAGTATATAAAAAAACCGTTCAAGTACCTTAAAGAAAATTTTTCACGAAAAATGAAAATTCGATGGGAAAATAATTGGCCCATCCGGACGTCCGGATGGGGTCTTCTGGACGTCCGGATGCAATGTCCAAAGGTCACATTTTTTAACCGTTTGGCAAAGGGCTAGTTAATCGTCCGGATAACAAGCGAACGTCCGAATCACTTGTCCGAATCTCCAGATTGATGGCTATAAATACCTCTCTTTATACCTCTTTTAATGCAAGCTTTTAGAATATTAAAAAGAGTTATTTATTGATCTTATCTACCTTGTTTTTCAATCTTTAAGAGATCAAAATAACTATCTGTTGAAAAACTTTTTGAGTGAGTAACTTTTTGAAAAATCATATATCTCAATAAAAGTTTTTTCACACAACACTTGAGCTATATTCTTTGAGATTTATTGAAGTGTTTGTGCCTAATTCTCTCTTGATATTTAGTTGTGTTCATACCATTTGTTAAGAGAGAAACTTTTCAATTGTAACTTTAATTTTCTTGTGAGTCGAGTTGAGGTTCCAGAAAGCTCAACGTGTAAAAGGATCGGTGCTCCTTAGTTGCAAGTCACCAGAAGCATTGTAAGGGTTGGATTGCACCATAAGTCAATTGAAGATAGTGAAAAAGGCCTTGCTCGTGACGAAGAGTTTGGTAATGGGAGACGTAGATTGTGATTGGATCGAACCGCCTTATTACATCGTTTGCACTCTCTTTTCCCTTCCTCTTATTACTTTTGTGTTGTCTTGTTTATTCATAGTTATTTGCTTAAATTTGCGTTTATTTTAGAAAAAGTTTCAAATAACCAATTCACCCCTTGACAGAACCGCCTCTACTAGTGACAAGACTTAATATTATACTCATGACAAACGTTCTATCAATCATTCAAGTAAGATCTTGGTGCAAAGGATCTCTCGGGAGAAGCGTCTATGGAAGACGCTGCTTTGTGATTCGGAGGCTGCTACCTCGGCTACAGAGCTATTGGCCTCGTCCACCTTCAAAGGGCCTCGGAGTATGGGCTTTGGAAGCTCCTCAAGAGGCAATGATAGATGGGCCTAGACTTCTGTGGACCTCAGTTTACGGGCCTCGGATATGCAAATCACCTCGGCTTCAGTGCCACGTGGTTCAGCATAAGTTGGCCGTGGGCCCTGGTGGGTTGTCCAAGTGTACAAACACGTAACAATGATAAGTCACAATTGTTTCCTTTTGTCCTTTAGAAACATGAATTAAGCAAATATCATATCGTGGTATATGAATTTGCAAAATGGCAGCTTATACTAAATGTCGATCTACTGTGACCATAGAATGGGCTTTGTCGTCTTTCCTCAAGCGCCCAGAGAAGCTAGAAAGGGTTAAGGAAGGAACTTAAAGATGCTGTCAAAATGAAATTTGTTGTGGGATGGAGGTTGGTTAGGGAAGAAGACCAATTTTATTTTTCTTTCTTTTTTTTTTTTGTTTAAATTTTGATTTTAACGTAAAGTTATCATTTTGTCCCTTTAAAATTTGTTAAAATGTGATCAAAATCATTTTTCTGGTCAACTGACAAAATTTTGGATGAAAACTGTCCAAACGTTTGGAAATGTTAAGAGCGACGGTTGCAACAAATCAAATATTTGAGGCTTCTGCTGCAATTATCCCTTTTTGTTTTTTTTGGTAAACTATAGACTTATCACAATGACTCATAATGTCTTCAAAATCAAGTGTCATAAGAAGTTTCACAATCAACACAATTTTCATGAAAAAGATGTAAACTTTTATTCATTTGAACATTTAAGGTCTTCCCCTTTTTCAGTAGCAAAAATCCATTGTCTCGAAAGTTCGTCGGGCTCAATGAAATGAAATGAGTTTCTTCGAATCTAACCAAAATAATAATAATAATAATAAATAAACACATACACATTATAATTTATGTGATTTTCCGATTGAACGAAGCATTCTTATTTAAGGTTGACTATGAACAAACTAAAACAAGTACAGAACATGTTAGAGTTATTCATGAAAGGCGAAATTCACTTCAACTTTTCACATGGAAGAAATTGATACTATTACAAGAAAAAAAATTGGAATGACTAGTGAAATTCGTCAATATAAAATTTGAGCCAACCAAAAGCCAAAATGCACTTGATTATTTGGTATCCACTCATTGTCCTATTTTGACTTCTTTCCAAAGGCCATGGAATCTTTATTTTAAATAATTAAATTATTATTTTAATATATTACAAATAATTTGACTTAAATTCTACAATTAAAAATGTTTATTTGCGTATCTAAATTTATCTATTGAGTCAATAATTGCGTATCTAAAATTTAAATACATCAACTCAATCACCAATTAGTATTATAGTAAATGAAAAATATTATGCAAAAAATAGAAATTTTTTGTTTGAGCCACATTTTTTTTATAAAAATATAATTTTAAATAATATTTTGAGGAAAAATGTATGGTTAAAAAATAAAGAAATTTTTTTAATTTACATTTAATATTATTTTATTATGAACGTGCTGCTAAAAATAAGAAAAATATATAAAAAAAATTCTATATCTAAAGCACAGGCTTCATTTCGCTCATTGATGTCTGAACCGCCTTGAGACCCTCTATCTCTCTCTCTATCTAAGCACAGTTCATCTGTCGATATACACGCATAAAAACCATTGTCAAATTTCAATCCAGGAGTAGTTAAAGGAGCTAAAAAAAATCAAGAGATATGTCTTCCCCAAGCAAACGCAGAGAAATGGATTTGATGAAACTGTAAATGAAATTTCAATCTATTAATTTTTTCAAATACATGTAACTATTTTAGCTGGGTTTTTATATAATTATTTTTGGATAATTTTTATTTTTCGGATTGGTTTGTACTAGGATGATGAGCGATTATAAGGTGGAGATGATCAACGATGGGATGCAAGAGTTCTATGTGGAGTTTCATGGGCCTAAAGACAGTAATAATTTCTAATAAAACCCATCGCTATCCTTCATTTTACGATCTATATGAAGCCTTATGTCTATATTTATGTTGAGTTTTATTTATTTTATTTATTTTTATCTAATTTGTATTTTTAAAGATTAATAGTTTGAGCTGTGTTTGACTTGCGTAGCTTTGTAATTGAGCTGAAAAAATAGTATATTTATAACTTTCAATTGATAAAGTAATAGATACTCATGTTTAATCTCGAATTGGAGTTCTTTGAAACTTGGATTGCAGATTGGTCTTGAGTTCAATCTCAAATTTCATTTCTTGGTTTCATTAAATTCCGTGAAATTTTTCGTACATTCTGATTGTACTTATTCATTTTTGAGCGCATCTTTAGCTTTATAAGTTTGATAGAAAGTCTTTTCTGAGAAGGGATATGAGATGATTGACATGGTTGATGCTGTATTAGGGTTTGAATTGGCAGGATCGTTGTTTGCTAATTTGTCTCAACGAGAAACGAAGTCCTTTTGTTGATGGCTTAGTTGGTGTTACATTTGATCAAAAATGGTACTTTTTTCCAATTCGATTGTATTTGCAGGCCCTTATCAAGGTGGTGTGTGGAGGATAAGAGTGGAGCTTCCAGATGCTTATCCATATAAATCTCCTTCAATTGGTTTTATCAACAAGATATACCATCCAAATGTTGAGGAAATGTGAGTTCACAAACTGTCTAACCCAGTATCTACCTTGTTCAAATGACGGTATTCACTCAAAGCTTGTTGGATGAAAGTTTTTCAAGTGCTACATTTTCGTGTTTTGTTACCAGGTCGGGCTCAGTGTGTTTAGATGTCATAAATCAGACATGGAGTCCTATGTTTGGTAAGTTGATATTCTCTTAGCAATTTCCTGCATTTGGTAAGTGGACATTCTTGGCATTTTTGGCGGGCATATGGACTTGTTAATTTAACCTAAATTACTGGTATTCAAACATAATGATAGATTCATCAGCTTGATTGGGGTATTTCTTTCTTTTCAGATCTAGTAAATGTGTTTGAAGTCTTTCTTCCGCAACTTCTTTTGTACCCAAATCCATCAGATCCTCTGAATGGAGAGGCAGCAGCTCTAATGATGCGGGATCGCAATGGTTATGACCAAAAAGTTAAAGGTAGAAAATTTTAAGTAGTTTAGCATCCTGGTAGACATATCTTTTAAACTGGCTGGAATATATTATGAAAATCTTCCTCTATTTTCTTTGCCTATTTGTATAATTGCCTAAAGTATACTAATGATAAAAATAGAAGTGAAATAAATCATTATGAAATTATAGTCAAATTTGATTGGAAGCACGCAAATGAACATAATTCTGGTGAAATTTTAGTCAAATTTGATTGGAAACTCGCAAATGAACATAATCCAGGTGAGATTTTAGTCAAATTTGATTGGAAACTCGCAAATGAACATAATCCAGGTGAGATTTTAGTCAAATTTGATTGTAAACGTGCGAATGAACCAAATTTAGATGAAATTTTAGTCTAATTTGATTGGGAACGTGCAGATGAACCAAATTAATGTGAAATTTTAGTCAAATTTGGTAGGAAACACGCAAATGAACATAATCCAGATGACATTATAGTCAAATTTGATTGTAAATGTTCCAATAAACCAAACTCAGGTAAAATTTTAGTCAAATTTGATTAGGAACACGCCAATGAACCAAATTAATGTGAAATTTTAGTCAAATTTGATAGGAAACACGCAAATGAACATAATCTACGTGGCATTCTAGTCAAATTTGATTCTAAGCGTGCCAATGAACCAAACTCAGGTGAAATTTTAATTAAATTTGATTGGGAACGAGCCAATGAACCAAATCATCGTGAAATTTTAGTCAAATTTGATTGGAAACACGCAAATGAAAATAATTCTGGTGAAATTTTATTCAAATTTGAATGTAAACGCGCCAATGAACCAAAGTCAGGTGAAATTTTAGTTAAGTTTGTTTGGAAATGCACAAATGAACCAAACCATTGTGAAATTATAGTCAAATTTGATTGAAAACACGCAAATAAACATAATTCTAGCGAAATTTTAGTCAAATTTGATTGGAAACTCGTAAATGAACATAATCCAGGTGAGATTTTAGTCAAATTTGATTTTAAACGCGCCAATAAACCAAACTCAGGTGAAATTTTAGTCAAATTTGATTGGGAACGTGCCAACGAACCAAATCAATATGAAATTTTAGTTAAATTTTATTGGAAGCATGCAAATGAACACAATCCAGGTAAAATTTTAGTAAAATTAGATTGGAAACGCGCAAATGAACCAAACTCAGGTGAAATTTTAGTCAAATTTGATTGGAAACACGCAAATGAACCAAATTAATGTGAAATTTTAGTCAAATTTGATTGGAAACTCGCAAATGAACGTAATCCAGATGACATTATAGTCAAATTTGATTGTAAATGTTCCAATAAACCAAACTCAGGTGAAATTTTAGTCAAATTTGATTAGGAACACGCCAATGAACCAAATTAATGTGAAATTTTAGTCAAATTTGATAGGAAACACGCAAATGAACATAATCTACGTGGCATTCTAGTCAAATTTGATTCTAAGCGTGCCAATGAACCAAACTCAGGTGAAATTTTAATTAAATTTGATTGGGAACGAGCCAATGAACCAAATCATCGTGAAATTTTAGTCAAATTTGATTGGAAACACGCAAATGAAAATAATTCTGGTGAAATTTTATTCAAATTTGAATGTAAACGCGCCAATGAACCAAAGTCAGGTGAAATTTTAGTAAAATTAGATTGCAAACGCGCCAATGAACCAAAGTCAGGTGAAATTTTAGTTAAGTTTGTTTGGAAATGCACAAATGAACCAAACCATTGTGAAATTATAGTTAAATTTGATTGAAAACACGCAAATAAACATAATTCTAGCGAAATTTTAGTCAAATTTGATTGGAAACTCGTAAATGAACATAATCCAGGTGAGATTTTAGTCAAATTTGATTTTAAACGCGCCAATAAACCAAACTCAGGTGAAATTTTAGTCAAATTTGATTGGGAACGTGCCAACGAACCAAATCAATATGAAATTTTAGTTAAATTTTATTGGAAGCACGCAAATGAACACAATCCAGGTAAAATTTTAGTAAAATTAGATTGCAAACGCGCCAATGAACCAAACTCAGGTGAAATTTTAGTCAAATTTGATTGGAAACACGCAAATGAACCAAATTAATGTGAAATTTTAGTCAAATTTGATTGGAAACTCGCAAATGAACGTAATCTAGGTCAAATTTTTGTAAAATTTGATTGCAAATGTGCCAATAAACCAAATTTAGGTGAAATTTTAGTCAAATTTGATTGGAAACGCACAAGTGAAACAAATCATTATGAAATTATAATCAAATTTGATTGGAAACACGAAAATGAACATAAATCTGGCGAAATTTTAGTCAAATTTGATTGGAAACTTGTAGATGAATGTAATCCAGGTGAGATTTTAGTTAAATTTTGTTGTAAACGCACCGATGAACCAAACTTAGATGAAATTTTAGTCAAATTTGTTTGGGAACGCTGAAATGAACCAAATTAATGTGAAATTTTAGTCAAATTTGATAGGAAACACGCAAATGAACATAATCCAAACGACATTATAGTCAAATTTGATTGTAAATGTGCTAATGACCCAAACACAGGTGAAATTTTATTCAAATTTCATTGGGAATGCGCCAATGAACCAAATTAATGTGAAATTTTAGTCAAATTTGATAGGAAACACGCAAATGAACATAATTCAGGTGATATTATAGTCAAATTTGATTGTAAATGTGCCAATGAACCAAACTCAGGTGAAATTTTAGTCAAATTTGATTGGGAACGCGCCAACGAACCAATTCAATGTGAAATTTTAGTTAAATTTTATTGGAAGCACGCAAATGAACACAATCCAGGTGAAATTTCAATAAAATTAGATTGCAAACACGCCAATGAACCAAACTTACGTGAAATTTTAGTCAAATTTGATTTGGAATACGTAAATGAACCAAATTAATGTGAAATTTCAGTCATATTTGATAAGAAACACGCAAATGAACATTATCCAGGTGACATTATAGTCAAAATTGATTGTAAACGTGCCAATGACCCAAACTCAGTGAAATTTTAGACAAATTTGATTAGGAATGCACCAATGAACCAAATTAATGCGAAATTTTAGTCAAATTCGATAGGAAACACGTAAATGAACATAATCTAGGTGACATTACAGTCAAATTTGATTGTAAACGTGCCAATAAACCAAACTCAAGTGAAATTTTAGTCAAATTTGATTGGGAACGCGCCAATGAACCAAATCAATGTGAAATTTTAGTCAAATTTGATTGGAAACACGCAAATAAACATAATCCAAGTGAAATTTCAACCAAATTTGAATGTAAACGCGCCAATGAACCAAACTCAGGTGAAATTTTAATAAAATTAGATTGCAAACGCGCCAATGAACCAAAGTCAGGTGAAATTTTAGTCAAATTTGATTGGAAATGCTCAAATGAACCAAACCATTGTGAAATTATAGTCAAATTTGATTGGAAACACAGAAATGAACATAATTCTGGTGAAATTTTTGTCAAATTTGATTGGAAACTCGCAAAATGAACATAATCCAGGTTAGATTTTAGTCAAATTTGATTGTAAACGCGCCAATGAACCAAAGTTTGGTGAAATTTTAGTCAAATATTATTAGGAACGCACAAATGAACCAAATTAATGTGAAATTTTAGGTAAATTTGATGGGAAACACGCAAATGAACATAATCCAGGTGAAATTTTAGTCAAATTTGATTCTAAAAGCGCCAATGAACCAAACTCAGGTGAAATTTTAGTCAATTTTGATTGGGAACGTGCCTATGAACCAAATCAATGTGAAATTTTAGTCAAATTTGATTAGAAGCACGCAAATGAACATAATTCAGGTGAAATTTTAGTAAAATTTGATTGCGAATGCGCCAATGAACCAAATTAAGGTGAAATTTTAGTCAAATTTGATTGGGAACGCGTAAATGAACCAAACCATTGTGAAATTATAGCCAAATTTGATTGGAAACACGAAAATGAACCAAATTCGGGTGAAATTTTTGTCAAATTTGACTGGGAACGCGTAAATGAACAAAATTAATGTGAAATTTTAGTCAAATTTGATAGGAAACACGCAAATGAACATAATCTAGACAACATTATAGTCAAATTTGATTGTAAATGTGCCAATGAACCAAACTCAGGTGAAATTTTAGTCAAATTTAATTGGGAACGCGCCAATGAACCAAATTAATGTGAAATTTTAGTCAAATTTGATAGGAAACACGCAAATGAACATAATCCAGGTGGCATTATAGTCAAATTTAATTATAAACGTGCCAATGAACCAAACTCAGGTGAAATTTTAGTCAAATTTGATTGGGAACGCGCTAATGAACTAAATCAATGTGAATTTTAGTCAAATTTGATTGGAAACACGCATATGAAAATAATCCAGGTGAAATTTTAGTCAAATTTGAATGTAAACGCGCCAATGAACCAAACTCAGGTGAAATTTTAGCAAAATTAGATTGCAAGCGTGCCAATGAACCAAAGTCAAGTGAAATTTTAGTCAAATTTGATTGGGAACGCACAAATGAACCAAACCATTGTGAAATTATAGTCAAATTTGATTGAAAACACGCAAATGAACATAATTCTGGTGAAATTTTAGTCAAATTTGATTGAAAACTCGCAAATGAACATAATCAGATGAGATTTTAGTCAAAATTTGATTGTAAACGCGCTAATTAACCAAACTCAGGTGAAATTTTAGTCAAATTTGATTGGGAACGCGCCAACGAACCAAATCAATGTGAAATTTTGGTCAAATTTAATTGGAAGAACGCAAATGAACACAATCCACGTGAAATTTTAGTAAAATTAGATTGCAAACGCACCAATGAACCAAACTTAGATGAAATTTTAGTCAAATTTGATTGGGAACACGCAAATGAACCAAAGTAATGTGAAATTTCAGTCAAATTTGATAGGAAACACACAAATGAACATAATCCAGGTGACATTATAGTCAAAGCTAATTAAACGTGCCAATGAACCAAACTCAAGTGAAATTTTAGTCAAATTTGATCGGGAACGCGCCAATGAACCAAATCAATGTGAAATTTTAGTCAAATTTGATTGGAAACAAGCAAATGAAAACAATCCAGGTGAAATTTTAGTCAAATTTGATTGTAAACGCGCCAATGGACCAAACTCAGGTAAAATTTTACTCAAATTTGATTGGGAACGCGCGAATGAACTAAATTAACATGAAATTTTTGTCAAATTTGATAGGATACATGCAAATAAGCATAATCCAGGTGACATTATAGTCAAATTTGATATTAAGCGTGCCAATGAACCAAACTAATGCGAAATCTTAGTCAAATTCAATTGGAAACATGCAAACGAACAAAGTTCGGGTGAAATTTTAGTCAAATTTGATTGTAAACGCGACAATTAACCAAACTCAGGTGAAATTTTAATCAAATTTGATTGGGAACGCACAATTGAACCAAACCACTTGGAAATTTTAATCAAATTTGATTGGAAACACGTAAATGAAGGTAATCCAGGTGCAAAGTTTAGTCAAATTTGATTCTAAACGCGCCAATGAACCAAACTCATGTGAAATTTTAGTCAAATATGATTGGAAACGTGCCAATGAACCAAATTAATGTGAAATTTTAGTCAAAACTTGATTAGAAGCACGCAAACGAACATAATCCAGGTGAAATTTTAGTAAAATTTGATTGCAAACGCGCCAATGAACCAAATTCAGGTGAAATTTTAGTCAAATTTGATTGGAAACATGCAAATGAACATAATTCTGGTGAAATTTTAGTCGAATTTGATTGGAAACTCGCAAATGAACATAATCCAGATGGGATTTTAGTCAATTTTGATTGTAAACGCGCCAATGAGCCAAACTTAAGTGAAATTTTAAACAAATTTGATTGGGAACGTGAAACTGAACCAAATTAATGTGAAATTTTAGTCAAATTTGATAGGAAACACGCAAATGAACATAATTTAGATGACATTATAGTCAAATTTGATTGTAAACGTGCCAATGAACCAAGCTTAGGTGAAATTTTAGCCAAATTTGATTGGGAACTCGCCAATTAACCAAATCAATGTGAAATTTTAGTCAAATTTGATTGGAAACTCACAAATGAACATAATCTAGGTGAAATTTTAGTCAAATTTGAATGGAAACACATAAAAGAACATATTTCAAGTGAAATTTTAGTCAAATTTGATTCTAAACGAGCCAATAAACCAAACTCAAGTGAAATTTTAGTCAAATTTGATTGGGAACGCGCCAATGAACCAAATCAATGTGAAATTTTAGTCAAATTTGATTGGAAGCACACAAATGAACATGATCCATGTGAAATTTTAGTAAAATTTGATTGCAAATGTGCCAATGAACCAAATTTAGGTGAAATTTGTAGAATCCCAAATAATTCTAGACACCTCAGTGGCACTAAGACATGAATATTGGATGACTAAAGTATACTTCAGATTTTTAGTCTCATTTGAGACCCATTTTCGACATAGGAAACATTCGATTTGGAAAATGATATCTAAATAAAAGTTGTAGCTCTTTGAGTTAGCTTTTCAACGCACTTTGAATTATCTCAATCGGATATTGGGAGAAAATGTTATGATAGAAACATTAAACGCTATGCAGTGTCAATCGGACTATAACCGATCGACCGAAACTGCTTAAAATGAAAATTCTCATATTTCTCTAGAATTTAAATATTTATTTTCATCAATTATTTTCTCAAAGGGCCACCCACATTTTTGGTAATAAAAACCCCACTAAATTGAAGCATTTAACCTCAAACTTAAATAGCACCCATATTTTCTCTCTTAAATGAAATTTGACCCTTCATTTACTTTAAGTTATGGGATATTTACCTATAAATAGAGGCCTCATTTCACTCATTTTTTCTCACACCAAAAGAAAGAGTTTTTACATACTAAAGAAAGAGTTTCCAAGAGAAAAAAAGAGAGGGAGGAAAACTATTTTTCCTAGAAGTTTAAGAAGTGTTTTCAAGTATCAATTCTCAACGGTTTTCAAACATCCAAGGAGTGTATTTCTTTCAACATCCAAGTTTCATCGAAGTTTTCAATCCAAGTTTTCAAAGTTTCAAAAGCATCAATCAAGGTAAGTAGAGGTGAAATGTGTTTAATTGTGTTAAGTTATAAGTTTCGATTCATGTTAATGTTTGTATGTCAAATGGTACTCCGGTACGGCATATCCCTCTATGTTAATGGTTGTATGTCAAATGGTACTTCGGTACGACATACCCCTCTATGTTGAAGAAATGTTCGTATGTCAAATGGTACCCTCGGGTACGGCATACCCCTTCATGTCAAATGGTGCCTTCGGGTACGGCATGTATGAAAAGTTATAAAGTTAATGTTTTGAAATGTATAGCTTGATCACGAATGCACCTATGACACCTATTGAGTTTTTCAACTCACGGGTTTAATCCTATCTCTACATATTGCAGGAATTCTACCTCGGGTATGGATGGAGGAGAAGATGGAGAGTGTGCAATGAGCCCATGAAAATCCGGTGAATAAGTGATTTGGATTTATTTTTACGAAATGTTTTCCAATGTTATTTCTTTAAAGTTTTGAATAACACAGAATACGAGAACAAGTTATGTTTTCCTCAAATAAATTACATTTTGTTGTTTTGAAAAATGATTCAGTGTTTTTGTTTAAAGTATTTGAAGTATTGTTATTTAAATTATTATCCGAAGATGTAAGCTTCCACTAAAACGTATACACTTATTACTAAACCATCGATTAAGCTAAGTAAAGTAAGTAGCGTTCCGGTTCACTAGGGGTCGGGGCGTTACAACATTGTATCAGAGCAAGGTTTAGCCGGTTCTGTAGACCAAGTATGTTTTTTTTAAAACAAAAGGAAAATGAAAAGTTTAAGGTATCCCATGGCATCGTGCATCCATCCATCAATCTCATCCTATTGCCCAGGTATGTTCATGTTTAAAGTTAATGATTATGTTTATGTTATGATACTTTGATATGATTTAGAGATGTGTTATTTAAAGATATGTAATGGACTTAGGCAAAAGCTAAGGGCTTAAAGGGAATTGCATGATATGAAAGTTTAAATATTTGCATGTTTTCTTTAAGCAAAGAAAAAGTATGATGCATGTGAAAATGCAACAGATATGGCTCGTAGAACGGCTAGGGCATATAGAGAAGCATTGAACTGTAGAATTGCTATTCATTCCTATGAAAACTATGTAACTGATCCGACTCGACCACTTAGCGAACATGTGTATGACATCTATGAGAGATGCATGATGGCGGTTAATGCTGGTATGGAGATCATGCATATTGAGGCCATAAATAACCTTATACACTCCCTCCCACCTCAATGGGGAGATATGGGAGTCACAGTTAGAGATGAAATGTTAGAAGGCAACCCAAACATGTTCGAGTTTTGCCATGCCTTGATTGATTTGTGGGATGATATAATCCATGAGGAGCCTGAGGAGGAACCTTTGGCTGAGGAAGAAGATCCCGAAGAAGAACCCGAGGATGATTTAGAGAATGATCCTGATCCTGAGCCTGAGCCACAGGTTGAGATGGATATAGAGTCTGGACCTGAGGCGGAATACTCCTTCGAAGATGAAGCTCTACCAAAGAAGATCCGTAGAACTTATAGGGATTAGATTTAAATCCTTGTAATAGCTTCTCTTACGTCAAGAAATAAAATACTATCTTCTTTGCTTTAGTATTCGAAGAATGAATCTAATAAGAACTATATGTTTTGTCTAATGGAAATGGCCCGCACAAATCAAAACTTGATAAGAGACCTCTTCCGAGCGGTTCAAGACCTAGGCAGGCAAAACCCGAACCAAGCTCAAGCCCTACCACTAGCTCCTAATGTTCCAAACCATGCTTCAGTGGTTGAGCAATTTCCAAGGCACAAGCCCCCTACCTTCAACGGAGCAGTTGATCCACTTGCAGCTGAGGAGTGGCTTCGCAAGTTGGATCATATATTCCGATTGATAGGGTACACAGACGCTCAAAAAGTCCAGTGTGCTGAGTTCATGTTCTCTGGTAATGCAAGTCACTGGTGGGACTCAATGTCAAGGACAAGGACCCCTGAGCAACAAGTAGAATTGACTTGGGAGCAATTCAAAGGGGAAGTAATGGACAAGTACTTTCCCCAGTCCTTGAGGGATTACAAAGAAAGTGAATTCCTCCAACTCAAGCAAAAGACTATGTCCCTGACTGAGTATGAGAGGAAGTTTGATCAACTTTCAAGGTGTGCTCCACATCTGGTGGATACGGAGGATAAGAAGGTATGAAGGTTTGAAAAAGGGTTGAACTCGGATATAAGCATGATACTTGTGTCCCATCGCTTCACCACATACCGTGAAATGCTGGAAAGAGCTCATGCTATTTGGTACCAGAAGACTAGCGCCGAATAACATGGACAACTGTTCAATCAACCGGACAATGGTAACATGGGAAAAAGGAAATGGAATGGCCAGGACAAGGAAAAAGGCAAGTAGCAGAACAAGAAAGCTAATGGCGGAGCCAATGCCAGCAAAAGCATTGTGTCGATTATTGCACCCTGTTGTAAGTGTGGAAGGACACATCGTGGCGAGTGCTTACAAGGGAAAAATGTCTGTTTCTGATGTGGCAAGCCAGGACATATCATTGGGGATTGTCCCACACATACCCAGAAGAAGGATGATAACAGCGACAGAACCAGAAAGGGAAAGCACAAGTTTTTGCATTGACTCAACAGGATGTAGAGGAAAACTCTAATATCACAGCAGGTACTCTACTGATAGCCAATACACCTGCTTATGTATTGTTTGATTCAGGAGCTATACACTCCTTTGCTTCAACAACTTTTATGGCTAAATCTAGTAGTACCTATGATAAGTCGGAAGGTATATTAGAAGTTAGTATTCCTTCGGGAACCCTTTGAATACTGATAGAATAGCCAAGTCAGTAAGTATCGAAGTTGAGGGAAAACCAATGGAAGCAAACCTATACATGATAGAAATGAAGGATTTTGATTTAATACTAGGCATGGATTGGTTAGGTTGTAATTACGCCACCATTCGATGTAAGGAAATGGAAGTATCATTTCAGAAACCAGGAGAGTAACCATTTTCGTTCCTTGGAATGAAGACCAAACCCCTTATTTGACTAGTATCGACTTTACAAGCTGAGAAGATGTTGAGAAAAGGAACATGTCAAGGATATTTAGTAAGTATTTCTGGAGGGAAACAAGAGACGATAAGGGTTGAAGATGTACCAGTAGTACGGGAATTCGTAGATGTGTTTTCAGAAGATCTATCTAGTATTCCACCCGATTGACAAGTGGAATTCACCATAGACCTAATTCCCGAGGCGGCACCAGTATCTAAGGCCCCATACCGAATGGCCCCAAAGGAACTACAAGAATTAAAGAAGCAGTTGCAAGAACTCCTAGATATGGGCTTCATACGACCAAGCGTATCTCCATGGGGTATGCCGGTGTTGTTTGTAAAGAAGAAAGATGGAAGCATGAGGATGTGCATCGATTATAGGGAGATAAATCAATTAACCATCAAGAATAAGTACCCACTCTCGAGGATCGAGGATCTATTAGATCAACTAAAAGGAGCTATGGTATTTTCCAAGATCGACTTACGATCGGGATACCATCAACTGAAAGTAGAGACAAAGGATATACCTAAGACAGCTTTTAGAACTCAATATGGACACTACGAGTTTACGGTGATGCCGTTTGGGCTAACCAATGCACCTGCAATGTTCATGGACCTGATGAATCGAGTGTTTCATCAATACTTGGATAAGTTAATCATAGTCTTCATCGATGACATTCTGATATATTCCAAGAGTAAGGAGCAACATGAAGAGCACTTGAGAATAGCCTTAGAGGTATTACGCAAGGAGAAGCTGTATGCCAAATTCAAGAAGTGCAAGTTTTAGCTTGAACAAGTTGGATTTCATGAACATGTAGTTACTACCCAAGGGATTGAAGTAGATCCAGCAAAAGTAGAAGCAGTAACCAACTGGAAAATACCAACAAATGTTGGTGAAGTATGGAGTTTTTTAGGATTGGCTGGATATTATAGGAGATTCATAGAAGGATTCTCCAAAATAGTTGGACCAATGACACCCAATGACGCAGCTTACAAGGAAGGGAGTAAAATTCCAATGGATGGAAAAATGCGGACAAAGTCTCCAAGAACTTAAGCAGAAGTTGATATCAACACATGTATTAACAATACCTGAAGGTACGGAAGGGTTTGTTAAATACAGCGACGCATCCAAGCGAGGGTTGGGATGTGTACTAATGCAGAATGGAAAAGTGATAGCCTATGCTTCAAGACAATTGAAGAAACATGAGCAGAACTACCCAACACATGATTTAGAACTTGCAGCGGTAGTACACGCTTTGAAGATATGGCGACACTACTTGTATGGATGGAAGTGTGATATCTATACAGATCACAAAAGTCTCAAGTATTTCTTCACACAAAAGGAATTGAATATGCGACAAAGACGATGGTTGGAATTGGTGAACGATTACGACTGCACTATTCACTACCATCCGGGTAAGGCTAATGTTGTGGCCGATGCTCTAAGTAGAAAATCAATGGGACAATTGACGTCACTACCCACCTTTCAAGTGGAATTAGTCAAGGACTTGGAAAAATTGCAGATCGAAGTGGTTACCACTCCAGGACAAGTCACTGCTCGTATAGTAGCTTTAATAATTCGACCTACTCTTAGAGATCGAATCATAGAAGCACAAAATAAAGACTCATTTTCACAGAAGATTAAGAATGAAGTTGGTAACGATAAGAAAAAGGACTTTGGAATAACTGAGGATTAGGCACTGATATTTAGATGAAGAATTTGCGTGCCTAAGGATGAAGCCTTGAGAAACGAGATATTAAAAGAAGCTCATTCCACCCCGTACACCGCACATCCTAGTGGTACGAAAATGTATCAAGATCTTCGAGATACATTTTGGTGGAGAAATATGAAAAGAAGTATAGGGCTGTACGTGCAGAAGTGCATGGTATGTCAACAGGTTAAGGCAGAACACCAAAAACCAGCTGGATTGTTAAATCCACTAGATATACTTGAATGGAAATGGGAAAATATCACAATGGACTTTTTCGTTGGATTCCCGAAGTCAGCAAGAGGAAATAATGCTATATGGGTAGTAGTGGATCGACTAATGAAGTCAGCTCATTTTCTTTTAGTGAAAATGACATTCAGTTTAGACCAATTGGCATAGTTGTACATTAAAGAGGTTGTGAGATTACACAATGTACCTGTATCTATTGTGTCTGATAGAGACCCAAGGTTCACGTCCAAATTTTGGAAAAGTCTACAAGGAGCTATGGGTACGAAGCTGAACTTTAGTACAGCATATCACCCTCAGTCCGATGGTCAGTCTGAAAGGACCATCCAAACTTTGGAAGACATGCTGAGAACATGTGTTTTGGATCTAGGAGGTAATTGGGAGTCATACTTACCTCTAGT